AAACCCCTCAAATTTGGGGTAGTAATGACTAAAGCTGGAGCAACAGCTGTAGTTAACGTTACCTGGGCATTTCTAAGGCACATTTTCTTCATTAGATCTGTTTGCTCAAATGTTCCTGAACCTTTGTTGTACTGGAAACCTTATCTAGTTGGCCACAGCCCTTCAGCTGGCCACCTGAACATTCTATCTCCAGTGAGAGAAACCAGTGCTAGCTAAAAGTATTCCTAAGCAAGTAGTAAGGAGAGCCATTTACCCATAAATTCTAACTTCTGGCGAATAGAAAGCTTCCCTCTTCCTCCTCATCCTGCAAATTCTTAATCACATGACGGATATCAAGGAGGTTGCTGGTTTGGATGGTCCCAGTCCATTTGGGCCCTGTGTGTATGAGATGGGCTGGGAGGGTTGTACTCCCCACCTCCCTTCAGGGACATGGAATGCTGTGTACTGCCTCAAACTCAGGGATAGTCATGGGTGCTATTCTGTATTCCTGTCCTCTGTTCTCTTTATGTGGTGTTTGAATAGGTACATATATGCATATCAATCATGAACACTTTTCAAAACTATGTTCATGTAAAATTTAAGATTTAATTTAAAAAAAACGGAATATCTAGCCTTTCTGGTTGGGAAGATAACCTTTCAAATAAGACTGTGCAAGGCTGTCTTTCTGAATCTGCAGAGATGTAAAATGGAACAAAAGCTTTGCCTGGCATGAATTGCCCCCATTCTTCTGAATGGAATGTTAACTCTGAACCCAAATAATAACAATTTATGGCAAATTTTTCAAAGGAGACTTGTGATGTACCTGTGAAAGTGTGCACGCATATGCAGATTTACACTTATTTATGCACATACCAACACTGTGCATAAAACTCTGGTAACTGAACGCACAGATGGTCATTTGGATATCTATCCATTTGTGCATGCGATTGTGGTTAATGTGCATGCAAATATAGATTAGCAATTGTGTCCCCTATTTTGCAGAGAGTATTGATAATTTGACCTTAAATGTCAAATTTCTAAACTATTTCTCGGTAGATCTGTTTAATAGAAACATCCTGCAGTTCTGGGGGAGACTGTAGTAGAGCATCACTACCATTTTTTGTCTCAGTTTGACCCCAGTTAAATAAGAATGAACACTGTTAAGCACATAAGAATGGCCATACTGGGTCAGACCAAAGGTCCATCCAGCTCAGTATCCTGTCTGCCGTCAGTGGCCAATGCCAGGTGCCCCAGAGGGAGTGAACCTAACAGGTAATGATCAAGTGATCTCTCTCCTGCCATCCATCTCCACCCTCTGACAAACAGAAGCTAGGGACACCATTCCTTACCCATCCTGGCTAATAGCCATTAATGGACTTAACCTCCATGAATTTATCTAGTTCTCTTTTAAACCCTGTTATAGTCCTAGCCTTCACAACATCCTCTGGCAAGGAGTTCCACAGGTTGACTGTGCGCTGTGTGAAGGACTTCCTTTTATTTGTTTTAAACCTGCTGCCCATTAATTTCATTTGTTAGCCCCTAGTTCTTATATTATGTGAACAAGTAAACAAATTTTCCTTATTCACTTTCTTCACACCACTCATGATTTTATATACCTCTATCATATCCCCCCTTAGTCTCCTCTTTTCCAAGCTGAAAAGTTCTAGCCTCTTTAATCTCTCCTCATATGGGACCCGTTCCAAACTCCTAATCATTTTAGTTGCCCTTCTCTGAACCTTTTCTAATGCCAGTATATCTTTTTTGAGATGAGGAGACCACATCTGTAAGCAGTATTCAAGATGTGGGCGTACCATGGATTTATATAAGGGCAATAAGATATTCTCCATTTTATTCTCTATCCCTTTTTGAATGATTCCTAACATCCTGTTTGCTTTTTTGACTGCCGCTGCACACTGCGTGGACATTTTCAGAGAACTATCCACGATGACTCAAAGATCTCTTTCCTGATTAGTTGTAGCTAAATTAGCCCCCATCATATTGTTTGTATAGTTGGGGTTATTTTTTCCAATGTGCAGTACTTTACATTTATCCACATTAAATTTCATTTGCCATTTTGTTGCCCAATCACTTAGTTTTGTGAGATCTTTTTGAAGTTCTTCACAGTCTGCTTTGGTCTTAACTATCTTGAGCAGTTCTCAGACTATAGTAGTACACAAGAACAAAAAGCATGGTAAAGACAAATATGGTGGCAACTTTTTTTTTTTTATTTCTATGGCTTCTCTCCCTCCCCACATTCAAATGAGAAGTGCTGGAACATCCAAGTGAAGGATTGGGGGCGGACGGGGAAGTACAGGAAAGGGAATTCTGATATTGTCAGGATGAATCACAGGCATGATCTCTGACACACTTCTTTCTCCAGCAGCTTGTTACAGTAAGAACAATAATTAACGTGCAGGAGGGGAAAGTGCTTGCATTGCGGTTTTCCTGCATGGAGCAGGTCACAAAGGTTACATTGCATCCTGAGATGGCTTTGCTGGCTTCACACGGCTCAAGCAAAACACTGACGCTAGTGACTGACCCGACGTTCTTTGGCTGTACATGCTGTATTTGTGTGTCCACCTTTATTTCGTACCTTACTAGTGAGAGTAAATTGCAGGGCCAACAAACATTACGTATCAGAGGGGTAGCCGTGTTAGTCTGGATCTGTAAAAAGCGACAAAGAGTCCTGTGGCACCTTATAGACTAACAGACGTATTGGAGCATAAGCTTTCGTGGGTGAATACATATAAATTCTGAAAACCATAAGATTGAATCTAGTTTTGGAGTGTAGAAAATGTGAATCATAATGGTTAGGTTTAAAGACCAGATATCAGGAGGATGTTTTTTTGTTGCCTTTATCAGAATAATATGAGACTGGGTCACAAGAAATCTGAATATGATCTGTGTCCTGACCTATAAGACAAACAGAGCATAGCTACTGTATAGATCTCCTTGGCTTCTACTGTGCCATGCAACACTGTGACCCTAAGAGCACTCCAGTGTCAGATGGCAAGGGACTCCCTGGTACAGAGCAGTGAGTTTCAGATGGTCTGACCAGCCCAGTGTACCCCAACTCACTTTGTCATAATCTGTATCTAAAATGGGTCATGTAAGGTATCATACGCAAACTGGTGACACATGGGTGATTTAATTTCATTGTGAAATGTATGTATTAACTCTATAAGAAGAATTATGGATACTCACTAATATTATACTTTAAAGTCTGTGACCAAACAAAGATGGAAACACGTTTCCCCCCAGAGAGGAGGGAAGGCAGCTATCTATCTATCTCAAGTAAAATTAAGGAAGGTGCGACCAGAAAAAATAGAAGCCCCATTTATGTATACAAATCAGCAGGGGGGTGGGAAGTCCACAGGAAGGTAAGAATAGTATGAGGTCATCCTGAGTCTGGGGACAATACAGTGAGTTTGGGAAAATTTAAGGAGAAAAGAAGAAACCATCTTGATATCCATCACAAAAGATCTTTCACCTAGGAAGACCAGGGAAACCAGCACCTTGTACTTATGAAGGTCCTGACTCAGAGAAAGTCAGCCACGACTGGAGGTAAAAAGATTAGTAAGAAATCTATCTTAACCAAGGCTGTAGTTTGTTGAGTTTTAGCCACTAGAAAACATATTTTATTTTTTATTTGTTGTAACCATTTTGTCTTCATTCTTTGCACTTTGAGCAGAGAGTGATGTGGTGTTTTATAAGACACATGGCTTCAGGACTTTAATCCCTAAGAAGAATGACCCTAAAACATGCTGCTAGGAGCGCCTTACAGTTGTTGCTAAAAGGAATTTATACATTTTAAAAAAATCCAAAGTAGTCAGACCCGGTATAATAGACACAAGGGGATGACATCGCTGCATTTAAAGCACATGCTTTGGATCAGCAGCCTAGTTAAATGGAGCCCTTTAAGTTGTGAGGTTGGGAACACTGCTCTGAAAACCAAAGGCTGGTAACCTGATTTCCAGTTTCTTTCCTATCTTGGGATGAAAAAAAGCAGTGAGCATTCACATGTTTACCAACAACTGTCAATGTCAACTTCTTCTGCAGTGTTCATGCAGGAATCATTGGTTCAGGGTTTGGGCTGATTACCCTCCAGGCAGTGCTTGGCACATTTCAGAGAGGTGATAGAGATCTCTTTTTTCAGTGTATGTTGTAAGTCAGTGATCCTCAACCTGCGGTACAAAAAGCCAATGATACATCAGGCTTTGGTGACTGGTACATCAGGCTACAACTCTCTACCTTAATGATAAGCCTGTCTCTTGGGTATCAGAGCTCTGGCACAGCCCATCTCCTCTTCAGTGGTGTGTGGTCAAACCTGTAGTGGAGCTAAGGCAGCTCTAAGACTGGGCTTTGGAGCATCCTAGACTTGATTGCAGATTAGAAAGCACACAGTCGAATACTAGGCTAAATTCAAGAGCTCTGAGACTTGCAGTGGCACAAAGCATCTGCAGTCTCCCTGCTGTCAGGGGACATACAGCACAGCAGCACAGCCTTAAAGGTGAGTGGCATTGGGATGGAATAGAGAGTGGCCAGGATGTGCATCTGTGGAGCGGAGATTAAAGCAGTTCTTACTCAGAAAACCCTCCGGGAAGGCCAGGCACTGGTAGTGCCATCAACCTTCACTCAGCTGAATCCCTCTGGGTACAACTGGCTGCACCAGCAAGAGAGGTTGTGATATTTGACCAGGGTTAATAAACACTTGTGAGAAGTAGAGAAATGGGGGGAGAGTGTGCAGTTTCCATGAACTGCACACTTCCATGAAGTTCTTGGAAGACCCATGAATCCTTTTAAAATGCCAGCACGATCTGTACTTGTTTTTCATAAGAATCTCGGTTACCCTAGAACTGAAGAGAGGTAATCAATAGCCATTTTATAGTCCCTCTGCAGTATACTGTACCTTTTACTTTAACTCATGGTAGTAGCTTCAGAAAAGTAAATCCACAAAGATTAATTCACAAACTTGAGTTGTAATCAATACATTTTAGGGATTTCTTGTTGTTGTTCTGCAGGTCCTGGTTGCTAAATCTCCCGTTGCTCCATTCTCAGCTTTTTTCTACACCATTGAAAATTCTGGTCTGGTTCTTCAAGGTAAGATCACAAAGGAGATTTTGTTTTACCAATGAGTATTTTAAGTAGGCTGAAGGCAGAAAATACTGTGATTGTTTAAAATGGTGCCTTGATAACTAATTAAAAGAATGTATTGGAGCAAGCTGGCTGACCAACACAATCACGCTGCTCCTTTCGTTATACTGTCTTGAATTATACTGTATTGTGTTGCTGCGTATTTCGATATATCTGAGAGCAAATGAGCCATGAAGTAATTAATCAAGTCTCCCAGTTTTCATTCAAGGTAAAACCAAATTATTCTGGTAGCATCTCTCCAGTAGGTAGGCTTCTCGTGGAGAAACATACATGTCTTGAAATATGATAAAAATATGCAATATTATATTGTCCCCCTCTTAGCCGTTAGACTGAGACCAATAAAACACAGGAAATCATTATCACTCCCCTTTCTTATACATGTCTTGTTGTGATCACCTTAAGGTGAAGGCCATCTGGCCATAAATACACCTATGATTCTGTATATGTATTGGTCTACTCATTTGTTGATATGTAAACCCCAGCTCACCATACTGAGTCCACCTTTTGCTGTACTGATCTTGGTTGGTTTCCATCCATTTTCCTAATTGATCCAATTTACCAGACTAAGTTCTTAAGGTAGACCCATTCAGATGTATGCGATCTGACCTGCTATGGAGTTAATATTGTTTAAAAACCTCAGTCTCACAATTCCTCGGTCTTCAGTGGCGCAGAAATCACTGGCCTATCCAGGGTCGGTGCAAGGATATTTTGCGCCCTAGGCGAAACTTCCACCTTGCGCCCCCCCCCCTCCTGATGTCAAGCCCCCACCTTCCTACGGCCAAGTTCCCCCCAGGGGCCCAGATGTTCACAAAGTGCAGGGAGCACGGGGGGGGGGGAGGCTGCAAAGAGAGGGGTCATATGGAGGTTCTTCCAGGGGGTGAAGGTGGCAGAAAGGGGGGTGCATGGGATTGTTGCAGGAGGTGGAGGGGGCCAAGAGATGGAGGGGGCGGGGTGTAGTGGCAGGGAAGAGATTGCACAGAGGCAAAAGGGGCTCATTGCAGGGGGTGCAGTGGCAGGGAGGGAGTGGCACAAGGGAGAAGTGGGCAGGAGGGGGTTGTTGCAAGGGGCTGGCAGGTGGGGGGGTGTCTGTACCTGGGGTTGTTGCAGGGGGGTGAAGGTAGCAGAGAGGGGAGTGCACGGGATTGTTGCAGGCAGTGGTGAGCTGGAGCCGGTTCGCACCAGTTCGCAAGAACCAGTTGTTAAATTTAGAAGCCAGTGTAGAACCAGTTCCTAAAAGGGCAGGCGGGTGAGCAAACTCCAGTCTGCGTGCCACATCCGGCCCGCGGGATCGTCCTGCCCAGCCTCCCTGAGCTCCCAGCTGGGGAGGCTTCCCCGGCCCCTCCCCCAATCCCCTCCCCTTGCAGAGCCCCAGCGCACTGCGCTGCCAGCGCTCTGGGCAGCTCTGCAGCTCCTGCCACTTTGAGTGGCATGGTAAGGGGGTGAGGCTGCAAGCTCCTGCGGCTGCGCGGCATCCTTACACAGCAGAATGGTAAGGGGGCCGGGCTGGGGCTGGGAGGAAGGGTTGGATAAGGGGCAGGGAGCGATTGGATGGGGCAGAGGCTCACGGGGTAGTGGTCAGGGGACAGGGAATGGGGGTGGTGGTTGGGTAGGCGTGGGAGTTCCAGGGGGTCTGTCGGGGTGGTGGTTGATGGGGTCGGGGCAGTCAGGGGACCGGGAGCGGGGCGAGTTGAGTAGGGGGTGGGGTTCTGGGGGGCAATTAGGGTGGGGGGTCTCGGGACGGGGTGGTCAGGGGACAAGGAGTGGGGGGGGTTGATGGGTTGCGGGTTCTGAGGCGGGCAGTCGGGGGCAGGACGTGGGTTGGGGTCGGATGGAGGGGGAGACAGGCACGTGGGGCTTGTATTCACCACGCGGTTCCCTACCGTGTCTTTGGCGGCACTTCGGTGGCGGGGGAGGGGGTCTTCACTCACTCCGGGTGAAGTACCTGGCACCGAAATGCCGCCGAAAACCCAGAGCAAGTGAAGACCCCTCCCCCGCTGCCCAAGTGCCGTGGAGGACCCAGTAGGGAACCGGTTCTTAGGATTTTGGGAGCTCATCACTGGTTGCAGTGGGTGGAGGTGGCCAAGAGGTGGAGGGGGTGGGGGTGTAGTGGCAGGGAAGAGATTGCACAGAGGCAAAAGAGGCTCGTTGCAGGGGGTGCAGTGGCACGGAGGGGTTTGCACAAGGGAGGAGTGGGCAGGAGGGGGTTGTTGCAAGTGGCTGGCAGGCGGGGGGGTGTCTGTGACCGGGGTTGTTGCAGGGGGTGCAGTGGCAGGGAGGGGTTTGCACAAGGGAGAAGTGGGTAGAGGGGGTTGTTGCAAGTGGCTGGCAGGCGGGGGGGTGTCTGTGACCGGGGTTGTTGCAGGGGGTGCAGTGGCAGGGAGGGGTTTGCACAAGGGAGAAGTGGGTAGGAGGGGGTTGTTGCAAGGGGCTGGCAGGCAGGGGGGTGTCTGGGCCCGGGGTTGTTGCAGGGGGGTGAAGGTAGCACGGAGGGGTTTGCACAAGGAGGAGTGGGCAGAAGGAAGATGGCAGGTGGAGGGGGGATCCCGAGGTTGATGCAGGGGTGAAAGTGACCGTGGTGGCTGGGGGGAGGGGTGATTGCTGGGTGAAGGTTGTCCAGAGGCAAAAGTGGCAGGACAGGGTGGGTTGTTGGGGCAGGGGGTAAACGGGGGAGAAGGTAGCTGGTCGGTGGGTGTTGGAGGGAGTGGGTCTGGCTGGGGGAGGGGTGCCTGGGTTGCTCCCACATACACCATTCCCCAGGCCAGGGACTGGACCTGCCCACCCCCTGGCACTCTGTGGGCCCGTGCGGCTCCCCGCGGCCTGGCTAGGTACTTTGCAGGCGGAGTAGGCACCTAGCTTCCCTGCCCGAAGAGCAGAGCGCAGCTGCGCCTTCTTCCCCGCACTGCGGGCCAAGCCGGGCTCCCCGCCGCCCCCGGGGTTCTCAGCAGCGGCACAGGCAGCTAGCCCCCCCGCGCCTAAGCCTCCTGCCGCTGCTGCCACTGAGAGCCCCAGGGGCGGCGGGGAGCCCGACTCGGCGCGGGGAAGAAGGCGCAACTGCTAGTGCTAGACCCTCCCCTTCCCCGTTCTGCCGCCAGCTGCTCCCCCTGGGGGAGGGACTAGCCGCGCCGCTGGCGGCCCCTCAGGAGGCAGGGAGCAGCAGCAGCCTTGTGCTCCGCTGTTTAAAATTTTTGGGGGGGGCGCCACTTTTTGGCACCCCCAACCACTTGGCGCCCTAGGCGGCCGCTTAGTCTCCCTAGTGGTTGCACCGGCCCTGGGCCTATCTGATCCTATGAAACACTGTAAACCTTGAATTTAACTACATACCAAAAAGCCATACTGCCAGACTAAATGGCTGGATTCTGCTAGGATAGGCTTGGATCTGTGGATTGTAAGCTCTTTGGAGCATGGGCTGTCTTTTTGTTCGTGTTTTTACAGATCCTAGCACTGTGTTGTCCTGGTCCATGACTGGGCCTTGTAGGTTCTGCTTACGGTAATACCACTAATAATAACAATATACAATGGTCAGAGAAAAAGGATACTCGGACGATTTTCAGTGCAATGGATCCATTTTTGTTTGTTTGACTCAGTTGTGTGCTTGTTTGTGGGGTCCACTAGTTGCTCTCTAAATAGTTGGACACTATATCCAATGCATTCTTACTTATGCTGGAAGCTTAATCTGCCTCATTTGGTATCAGTAATCTAAACAGGCTACAGAATAGGGTTACCATACATCTGGATTTTCCCGGACATGTCCGGCTTTTTGGGCCTCAAATCCCCGTCCGGGAGGAAATCCCAAAAA